CAGTAACCTTGTCAGAAACAAAAGATTAGAATAAAAACCACATCAACCTCCAGAGGTTCAACATTTTAACCTGGTCTTTTATTCTTTTATTAGCGTTTATTCTACAAAACATTTAATTTAATTTTGTTTTCTCACCTTCTGTGAATTAATTTAATTTAATTTTGTTTTCTCACCTTCTGTGATTTAATTTCATTTCATTTAATTTTTTTACAGCTTCTTCACTGTAGTAACAACAGGATCATTAAGATGCACTGATGACAGAATCCTCTCCACAGTCAGGAAGCCTCAGTAGCGCCCCCTGCCGTTCACTACTCTCTCTTTCTTCCACTTTTTTTTCCATTAAATTCTTAAAGAAAACTGTTTTTTTTTTCAGTAACTCAGTGAAACTTCCTGTTTGTTTTTCCTTCAACTGTTTATTTATGACATGAACTTTTTTTACACGGATTATTTTATTTCCACACTGAAAATGAAATGTAAATATAGAGCTTTAGCATGCTAGTTAGCTGTTAGCTAACCTGGTTAAATTGGTCTTTCGGACTTTTGATAGTAACACATGAACTCTGACCTCACTGTTATTATTATTATTATTTCTGACGTGTTTGTAAAAAAATCTTATGACTTCTGTGATAAAACTGCACTCACCTGGGCTCTGGTTCTGGTTCTGGTTCTGGTTCCATTCTGTCTCAGCAGGTGGAGTGAAAAGATATGGAACTAAAACCAGGACTGAAAAAAAACCACGTCACGTCACGTCGGTACTGACGTTCCTCTGCTCAAATAAATGTTATAATAGAATCCGTCAGATAATATCGGTTTTAAGTTTAACTTTCGTTTAAAGTTTTCTTCTTTCACCGTAAAACCTGTTCCTGTAAACGGAGGTTCTAGAGTCCAGGCTGTAGTTCAGAGAAACCGGAGGAAAAGTTGTTGTTTAAAAACAAAAAGTTAGTTTCAAACTGTGTTTCCTCTAAGGTTCGACTTCGAGCTAAACATTTCTCTCCATCTGTCCATCCATCCTCCCCTCAGTGCGTCCTTCCATCCTTCCATCCTTCCTCCGTCTCTCTGTCCATCCTCAGTCCGACTTCCCTCCTCTTTCCTCCGGTCCCGTCGTCGTGTGTCCCCGTCGTCCCGGAGGATTCCTCTGCTCTCGTGTCAGGTCAACTTGAACCGCTTTCCGTTTCAGACCTTCTTACATAACTGGATCAGAGCTCGTCCACTCCACTCAGCTTCCTGTTTCCCTCTTTATCTCCTCGTTCCCTTCGTTCACTCTCGCTCTCCTACTCCGTGTTCTCCCCCCGGTTCTCTGTTCAATCCTCCGGGGAAATCGTTTCAATTCACGCGTTTCATTTGATGAAAATGAACTGATTTTGTGTTTAGATGCCGCGAATAAGTCACGTTTGATCTTGTTTGGTTTTGGGTTTGTTTTGTTTTTTTAGGGACTGTGTATTTTTGTTGGTTCTCGTTCGTTTTAATGTAATAGAAAAACGCATTACATTATGTGTGAAAACAGATTAATTTTCAAAGATTTAAAATATTTTTTTAAACAATTTTAAAGACCGACATAAAGTACGAGGTAATATTAAAATGTTTTAAAGTATCTTTTTAGCACATGCCTTCACACGACTCCGTTTTGGTTTTGGGTTTGTTTTGTAACAATAACAACAATAACAACAATAACAATAATAACAATAATAATAATAATAAACTGCTGCAGCGGGACCTACATTTCCTTCATGGCTGCGGTGTCCGGTCTTGGTCTCTCTCTCAGCCCTGACCATTCCTCTGTACGGAGCGTCTTTAAGCAGACAGGGGTCAGCCCAAGTGGAGCTGACAGCTGGACCCGCCCACAAGGTTAAAGACAATTAGATCCTCAGCTCTGATTGGACACAGCCCTACGTGACACACAACCCAGGTACCAACGTTGAGACAGTAAATTTCCACTGCTCCACTGCTGTCGAGCGTGCACCCAGAGGGGAGGGGGGAGAGGAGGAGGGGGGGGGTGAGAGGATTGCCCAGGACTCCCCCCCACACACCCCCTCCCCACAAACATCCACAGACACAAACCTCAGTCTAAGTCAAAACCTTACAAGTGCAGCGACCCCTGCACTATTTTAAACAAACCTGTAGAGAGGTTATCAGAGGACATGTCCACTGACCCCCCCACCCTCACCCCCCGGCCCCCTCCCTTGGACAGACGAGCCGGCGTTTGTCTGACGGTCGTCAGAGCGGTCCCTGATGTGGACACTGGAGGTGATGATGAAGTCAATCAGCTGTTTGGACGACCGTCTGAGTGGACCTCAGAGTGGTCCTCAGAGTGGTCCTCAGAGTGGTCCTCAGAGTGGTCCTCAGAGTGGACCATCAGACTGAACAGAGGAGCAGGTTCTAATCAGCTGTAAAGACAAGAACAAACAAAGGTTCAAAGGTCAGCTGTGGTCTAAGAACAAACACTGAGTTTAACTCTTTCATCAACCTAGACCTAGACCAGCGTCCCCAAATGTGGCCGCTGACGGGCTAACACCGCAGGCTAACACCGCAGGCTAACATCGCAGGCTAACACTGCAGGCTAACATCGCAGGCTAACATCGCAGGTGAAGGATTTTCTTTTCTTTCAAACCAACTTGAATATCAACAAACATAAAAAACTAAATTGTCAAATTAAAACCAAAGATTTATTTCGATGACATCCTGATCTCCACCTTGTTTTTTTTATAAAGGTTCTATCAGTGGAACGTGGACGAAGACTAACTGACGACAGACTGTCTGGTCTGCGTGAGGGCAGACGTGGTCACGTGGTCAGAGACGGCGCTCCTGTTTGTTGTGGATAAATACGTGGTGATGTTCAACGCCGTGGACGATCAGATTTTCTTGGTACTGTGTTCATTCACCTGTGACTGGGCCGCGGAACACGCCGGAATGAGCTAACGTCCTTCTTCAAACCCTGCAGGTATTTAGTGTCGTGTTCAACTAAACAGGACTCAGTCTTAGTGTCGTGTTCAACTAAACAGGACTCGGTCTGACACCGAGGTCAGTCGTCGACTGAATCTAGAATTTTCTAATGTTAAAAACAATCATCAGAACCTGAACCAGTGTCTGACACGTCATGATCATGTGACATATAAAGTTAACTCCTGTGATCTGTGTGTCCAGACGCGTCTCCCGCTGCGTCTTTATCTGTCCTGACTAATCAGTCCACTGTCCCGGTGTGTGTCCTCTCTGTCTCTGTTAATGCTCCAGGGAACACAGCAGCTGTAATCCCTCATTACCAGGGCTATGTTGGTGGAAACGTCTGAGACATACTTGGAAAAAAGAAAAAAAAGAAAACTCCACACAGAGCACTGGGATAAACAGCCCTGCAGGTCGGTCCAGGGACTGCAGGACATGTCGTAGTTACACCACTGGACAGGAGGACGACGGGATCTAAGGTGGGAGTTTTTCTAAATGTATTTATTTGTATTTTTTTTTTCTGAAACAACAGGACTCTGAGGTCACCTCATGTCCAGGACGACGGCTGCTGAGGTCAACATGTTTTATCACCACACAACCAACAACAACCAGTTTGTTTCATAAACATCAGCTGTGGGGAAATTTGATACAGCATAAAAAAAAAACAACCAGAGTCAGTGAGAAGGACAAGGTTAGAAAAAAGCTTCTTACTGTGACCTTCACCTGTATCCTCTCAGCTGTGAATCAGTGCATGAAAAAGACAAAAGACTAAAGAACTAGAACAGTGGTTCTCAAATGATACAATGGGTCCATCTACTGGTGAGTTGGCAAAACTGAAAAATAAAAAAATAATTTAACAAATAAAAACAAACAGATGAATATCGCAAAGTATAATAAAAAAAAACAACCATAACCTTGAAATAAATTAAAAATAAATTAAATAAAAAATTGAATAAAATAAGGATGAAAAAATAAAATAGAGATTAATTTGACAGAGTAAAGATTTTTTTTACCTTCTGACCAACATGACATGTAATTTTTATTACTTATTTCATTGATATAATAAACATTAACTTTAGCCCTGAGCCAATCACAGCTCAGACACTGATTAAAGAGGCACCGGAAGTGAACTGGAATGACGTCTTCTGAATTTGACCAGCGGCGAGTGTTGTAGAAGGTCGATGACTCCAGAAGGTGGCGATGGTGTCCTTCTGTAGAGTGGAGGGGGGGGTGGGGGTGTGGGGGGTCTACAGACGGATGTTATCGTCAGAACAGCTTTGGTGGGCGGGGCTTGTTGATGCGTCACAATTCCTGAATGCTCTAATTTGATGAGAAACATGATGATGAGTTTTCATCATAATTTTTTTAATTTTTATTATTGATGTATTTTCTGTATTGTTGTTTGTTTACTGCAGCTTGGCTGCTGATTGGCTCTACATACTGTAGCAGCAGGTGCATCAGGGTGAGAGCAGCTGACGTGTCTCCAACCACGTGTGTGTTTATCTTATTAGTGCAACAACTGTGGCGTCACGTGACGTCACGACTGACTCGGTCGTCGCTGCCGCTTCACTGGAGAAGAACAAACGCTGAAGGCGAAGAACGGACTGTTACCCAAGAAGGCTGGGTGTGTGTGAGTGTGTTTGTGTGTGTGTGTGTGAGGCCAGTACACACACGGACACACACACGGACACACACACGGAGTGTAAACAACTCCACTGTGGCCCGTACATTATGTAAGACCCGGGTCACAGCTTGACCCTCAGGAGCTGTTTGTTCAGTACATTTCCCGACATGCATTCTGCTTTTTAAAAAGGGCTTCCAACTGGCACCAGAGGGCGCTGTCTTTAAGTTGACGCTGGTCTGTGTTTGTGAAGAACATGTAGTTCAGTAGAGTTTTATGGGTTTGAAGATTTTTTTTTAATAAGAAATTTTTCATTTAAAAAAAAACACTGAGTCAAAGTTCATGAAAATATGATGTTAATTTTCCAGTTCTTTCTCTAATTAACGTCATAAGACGATGAGAGGAAAACATGGAATCGTTTAATTGGAATTAGTTTTTTTTTCTTTTTTCTTGTCAGTCCAACACCTTCCTGTCCTCTCTCTCTCTCTCTCTCTCTCTCTCTCTTCAGTGAAAACTTCAGAGACGATGAGCACGTGACGGAGGGAAATCCTGACGTGCTCCTGCTCCTGCTGCTGCTGCTCCTGCTGCTGCTGCTGCTGCTCCTCGGTGCCTCTGTAATGACATTAGGACAATCCTCTGAGCTGCTCTGGTTATTTTTAGGACCAAAATCAGACGCTGAGGCTGGACGAGGTGTGAGGCCTGTCTGAGGTCGGTCACTCCACGGGTCAGGACAATCAGGAGGAGAATGAAGGTGGAGGCAGCGTGCCAGGGTGCAGCATGAGGACAGGATCATGTTGACTGAAGCTGGAGGGGAGGGGGGGTGATGGATGGAGGGAGGGGGGGGAGGTGTACAGCACAGCTCCGTCCCCTGCGGTGCGTTGTCATCTGCTGCTGCAACTGATGCTGCACCAGAAATGTCAAGTACTTCCTGTCCTCATGGCACCACCTGGTCACCACCAGATCTGGACTGGAGCAGGAGAGGTCTGCAGGAGAGGTCTGCAGGAGAGGTCTGTAGGAGAGGTCTGCAGGAGAGGTCTGCAGGAGAGGACATTCAAAGACCACAGTCAGTCTGCAGCTGAACTTCCACTTTAATAATATTTATTAATAATATTCATATTTATTATAATTGTTATTATTTTCCTTCTCTTTTTCCTGAAGGTGAGAGTTTTCACTTCAAACTCGTCCTCAGTGGGAGAACAAACAAAGGCTGAGAATGAAGAAAAGAACACGTGCGTGATGTGCTGTGAAGACGTCACAGCAAGGGTCGTCATTCCGGCCACAGCGCTACAGGCCCCTCTGTAAAGGTAATATTGTGTGAAAGTGACCGGATGTTGACACTCGCACAGCAGACGGAGCTGTGGGCCGCAGGACCGTCGGTGCTGTCGGTGGTTATCCGCTTATGTCAGAGGAGGGGAGGAGGGAGGGAGCGAGGGAGGGAAGGAAGGAGGGAGAGAGGGAAGGAGGGAGGGAGCAGCGTGAGGAGAGATGGAGCGAGCGGAGGGCGCGTTCATCTGCTCAGCAGCTCCGGACTGAAGGGACTACAGTTCGAGGAGTCGTCGGTTGACCGTGTTCTGTTAGAGGAGCTCCTCTGCACCTCCTGCCCCCCCTCCTCACCCCCCCACACACTGGGCTGGTTGATGGGAATCCCCGTCATGTCGCGGTCCACGCAGCGTGTCGCACAGGACGCCATTGGAGGACACAGGTAAGACACTCACTTGTCCAACTACGGTGTCGATGCGGCGAGACTTTGCGGCAGTGACGCGGCTCTTACCTGAGTCCGGGGACGGTACCGCGGGTCCGGAGAACGGTACCGGGATGCGGTAATGTTACTGTAACGGTACCGTAGGCTCCGGAACTGTTAGGGAACTGTTGGTGATGAGGACGGTGGAGCTGCGTTCAGGTTCAAAGACAGTTCGGAGGATTCTGTTTTCAAAGTCCAAGACCGTCTGTGGGCCTCACCGACACACAACTGCCCTACAGTACAGACACACACACACACACAACTGCCCTACGGCACAGACACACACACACAACTGCCCTACAGTACACACACACACACACACACACACAACTGCCCTACGGTACGACGCACACGAGAAAAATACAAATGTAAATTGCGATTATTATTAAAATTATTGTTATAATTATTATAATAATTATTATAATTATAATAATTATTTGCGTTTTCAGCATAAATGATCCAAACTCTGACCATGAAAATATTCCTGTAGTTCTTCCTCTGTGACACTGCAGTCGTGGAGTCGGTTCTTTCTAACTGAACCTTTAGGTGAAACAGTTGACATGTTGTTGTTGTTGTTGTTGCTGTTGCTGTTGCTGTTGTTGTTGTTGTTGTTGTGGCGAGCCATACGGGAGTCGTACCCTCACCCTGTCAGGGCCAGGACCCAGACGGTCTTTCCTACGGTTACAAACCAGATCCAGGAGCCTTAGATTTAGGATTGTGTTCTACCATCAGAACCAACTGGACTTTGTTGTTAGAACTGAGGAGAACCAGAGGTTTAACCACAACCCCCCCTGACTCACCCCTCTTGACCCCCTCCCTCTGGGACATTTTATTAATCAATGAATAAACAGTTGGATCTTAACGTGAACCATTGTAATTAATTTATTATTATTTAATTATTAGTGTCAGCTGTAAATGAATTTTGATTTGACTGACCAATAAAAACCCTCCAAATAGAAAAGGCCTGTTCGTCCAATCAGTGGAACCGAGGTGTGATGTGGAGTCACTGCGTGTGGTACTGGTTTTTACAGGACCTGGACGCAGATCAGAGGGGGGGGGGGGGGGGGGGGGGGGGGGGGGGAGGAGGAGGGGGGAGGAGTCAAACCTCGGAGGGCAGATAGTGCAGAGGATTGAATTCTGAGGCGAAACGGTTGAATTTCTAAAACAAACGTAAGACGGTGATCGACTGACAAAAGAAGAGTTTCTGGTTTCAGAGAAGAAACTGGTCCAAGTGTTAACGACCTGTAGGCTAGGCTAGGCTAAAGCTGTAGGCTAGGCTA